TTAAGCTTAAAAACTTAAACGAAATGGACAAATTCCTAGACAAATAAGACTTAGTAAATGGGGTTCTGAAAGAAATAGAAAGCCCAAGTAGTGGTTTACTTCTTTAAGTCAATTCAATTAGAAGTTTCAAATTGTTCCACAAAGAAAACAACTGAAGAAGATTGCTTTACAGGGGAATCCCACCAACCTTTCAAGGAGTAAATTATTATTCTGTGATAAGGAGAAAAGAAAGGAGAACCCAATTCATTTTAGAAGATAAATAGAATCTTGATATCAGAAACTAGGCAGGGATAGTATAAAATAGAAAAATCACAGGCCAATCGCACTCAAGAAGATAGCTTTAAAAGTCTTGAAGATTAAGTATACTGAATCCAACACTACATTAAAAAATGCATAATACATCATAATCAAGTTTAATTTATCCCAGAAGTTAAGGTAATTTTAACATTAAAAAATCCAAAAATGTCACTTACTTCATTAACAGATAAAAGTTTAAAAAAATATATGATCATCACAATAACAGTAGAAAAAAGCATTTGGTACATTTACTGCCCATTTAAAATAAAAAGTCTTAACAAACTAGAAACTAAAGGGAACTTTGTTAACCTGATAAAACATTTCTACCAGCCGGGTGTAGTGGCTCATGCCTGTAATCCCAGCACTTTGGGAGGTGGAGGTGAGAGGATGGCCTGAGTCCAGTGGTTCAAGACCAAGCCTGGGCAACTTGGCAAGACCTCATCTCTATGATAATTTTAAAAAATTAGCCAGGCGTGGTGGCACATGCCTGTAGTTCCAGCTACTTGGAAGGCTGAGGCGGAAGGATCACCTGAGCCCAGCAGGTTGAGGCTGCAGTGGCTATGAGCATACCACTGTCCTTCAGCCTGAGCAATAGAATGAGACTCCTACTCAAAAAAAAATTCTACCAAAAACCCACAGCAAACTTCACTCTCAGTGTATAAATGGTAGAAGCATTCCTTTTAAAGTCAGGAAAACAAGGCAGGAATTCCTACTATCACCATTCTATCCAACATGGTACTGTAGGTCCCAACCAGTGCTATACAGAAAAACATGGGAAAACGGAATAAGAAACAGGAACAAAGAAACAACTACTGGTATTCACAGATCCTTGAACTATACTCAGAAAATGTGAAAACTTCTGCAGACAGATTAGAATTAAGGTCTCACATGGGTATAAATATAAGATCAATATACATGCAAAAATCAACTATATCTCTCTATATAAGAAATGGAAGATTGGGTGTAGTGGCTCATGCCTGTAACCCAGCTCTTTGAGAGGCCGAGGTGAGAGGATTGCTTGAGCCCAAGAGTTCAAGACCAGCCTAGGCAACATAGTGAGACCTTGTCTCTACAAAAAAAAAAACAAAAACGTAGCTGGGCATGGTGTGTGCCTTTAGTTCCAACTACTAGGAAGGCTGAGGAGGCAGAAGGGTCACTTGACCCCAGGAGGTCAAAGTTATAGTGAGCTATGATCGCACCATTGCACCAATCTGGATGACATAGAGAGAACTTGTCTCTAAAAAAGAAAGTAAATAGAAAAGCGCCATTGCTTCACTAAACTCTGGTCGGGTCATGTGGCTCTTTGGGCGATGTCCGCCATGTTTCCTAGCTTTGGTCCCTTCCCCTATTTTGGGGAGGTGACTCTCCTTTCTCCCTCTCTCTCTGATTTACTTTCTAAATAAGGCAAATAAATCCTCTTCTCTAAAACAGAAACAAAACTAATATTTGAAAAGTGTATTATTTGCGATAGAAGTCAAAAATAAGGGTCCTGGAGACATATCTTACAAAAGATATACAAGTATGAGTTTATGGAAAAAAATTATTGAAAGACATTCAAGATCTACATAAATGGGGTAATATAGATCATGTTCATGACTAGAAAGACGATTTCATAAGATGTCAGCTCTCCCCAAATGGATCTACAGATTCAATACAAATCCATCCAATAGTTTTTCAATAAACTTGAAAAGATGATTCTAAAATTTACAAGAAAGAGAATGAAAACAAAAATAGCCAAGACATCACTGACGAAGCACCAAGTTGGGAGAGCTTGATGTTTTGGATATCAAGACTTAGATAACAACATTAATTAGCAGTGTGCCACCAGCATAAGAATCATGAAACTAACCAATGAAAGAGTACTAAGAGCCAAAAAACAGTCCACATGTATGAGGAAATGTGATGTATGATAAGGGTGGCACTGCAAATCAGTAGTGAAAGCATGAACTATAACAAATGATGCTGGGACAGTTGGTTATCCCTATGGAAAAAATGAAATCCTTAATTTATACCACACAAAAAACCTGATTCCAGATGGATAAAGATTTAAATATAAAATACAAAATATTATAAGTTTTAGAAAAAAGTAAAAAATATTTTATGACCTTGGATAGGAAAGAATTTTTTTTTTTTTGATATAAGGTCTCACCATCTTGCTCACTGCAGCCTCAACCTCCTGGGCTCAAGCCTCAGCCTCCCAAATAACTGGGATTACAGGCATGTGTCGCTATGCCTATTTTTATTTTTTGTAGAGATGCGGTCTTGCAATTTTGCCTAGGCTGGCCTCAAACCCCTAGCCTCAAGTGATCCTTTCAAAGGCCCTGACCGCCCAACTGCTGGGATTACAGGCATGAGCCACTGAGCCTAGCCAAGAAATTCTTTAAGAAAATACAAAGAGTAGGCCGGGCTCACCTGTAATCCCAGCACTTTGGGAGGCCGAGGTAAGAGGATTGCCTGAGCCCAGGGGTTCGAGAATAGCCTGGGCAACTTTTGCGAGACCTCATCTCTACAATAAATCACAAAAAAATTAGCCAGGTGTGGTGGCGCATGCCTATAGTTCCAGCTACTTGGAAAGCTGAGGTGAAAGGATCGCCTAAGCCCAGCAGGTCGAGACTGTGTTGGCCGTGAGCATTCCATTGCACTCCAGCCTAGGTGACAGAGTGAGACTTCAGCTCAAAAAAAAAAAAAAATTCAAGCCAGGCTCGGTGGCTCAGCCTGTAATCCCGCGCTTTGGGAGGCTGAGGTGAATGGATTGCCTGAGCCCGTGGGTTCAAGACCCGCCTGGGCAACTTGGCGAGACCTCATGTCTACAAAAAATAAATTTAAAAAAATTAGCCAGGCATGGTAGTGCGAGCCTGTAGTTCCAGCTACTTGGAAGGCTGAGGCAGAAGGATCGCCGGAGCCCAGCAGGTCAAGGCTGCGGTGGCCAGGAGCGGCCACTGCACTCCAGTCTGGGTGACAGAGTGAGACTCCAACTCAAAAAAAAAAAAAAGAAAATTCAAAAAGTAGAAATCACAAAGGAAAGACTGATGAATTTAACTGTATTAAAATAAAACCTTCTGTTCATCCAAAAACACTATAAATAACCTAGAAAGATGAGCCACAAATTAGAAGATATTTGCAATTCATAAGTAATTTGCAACGATTATTATCCTAAATATATAAAGAACTCCTAAAAACCACTAAGAAAGCAACAGAAAACCCAACAGAAAATTAGGTGAAAGACATGAACAGGCATTTCATAGAAAAAGGGACCTGAATGGCCAATAATGACTTGAAAATATGTTCAACCTCATCAGAGAACTGCAAATTAAGGCAATAGAGAATTACCATCTTATACAAACTAATTTGGCAGAAGTGAAGAAGGCTGGCAAATTTTGATCTTGATGTAGAGAAACAGAAAGTCTTACACACTGCTGCTGAGAAGGAAAACAGGCAAAGTCACTTAGGAAAACAAGTTGGCACTGTCTTATCAAGCTGAATATGCACGTACTCCATAATCTAGCAAGTCTATTTCTAGAACCTCAGAGGCAGGTGCATCTAGAGATCCACACAAGAATATTCACAGCAGCTTCGCCTGTGATAACAAGAAAATCAGAAACTAACTGAATGTTCTTGGAGCAGGATGAAGACATGAACTGAGATACAGTCACGCAGTGGAAAACTATACATCCAAGAAAGTAAATGAACTACAGCAAAAAATTCCACCTGAGTAAATATCAGAAACACGACAAAGAGTGTGACTTCATTTTTATGAAGCTCGAAAATGAGCTAACTATACAAGGCATTGTTTGGGGATATATGCACACACAGTAAAACTATCACCCAAAAGCAAGAAAATTATAAACGAAAGGTTCAGGGGAATATTTGCATTGAAGCGGGAGGCAGGGGATACAGCTAGGGAGAGGCGCCAAGATAATGCTCTAACCCACCAGTGGGGTTCGCTGCTGCATGCCGTATTATTAATACAGTGCTCATCGTGGGGGTCTCCTGGCAGTAGCTGACGGTGGCTCGGTCATGTTCACCGGCTTTATGGTTTTATGACTTTCATAAACTTGATATATTTTCTTGTGTACAAATCAACACTAAATAGGATAAGAAGATGTGGGATGAAGTAATTTATGACACACTCCTAGGACAGAACAGCTGATTCCCTATGCTCTGTGAGTCCAGGTATGTGTTAAATGATTTAAACACATTATCTCATGTCATCTTCACATCAGCCCGACCAGCAGAGGTGATCTTTATGCCCACTTTACACACGAGGAAACAGACATGCAGAGAGGATAGGCAAAAGTCACACAGCTAAGAGAGGGACGCAAGTCCATGTCTATGTGACTCTATATCGGTCCCTCTCAGTCACTGTGCCCCCATCTCTCACACAGCAGGCCCTCAATACATGATGACATTGTTCTGATCTCTCTGTTCATACAGCAGCACCCCTTCCCTGACAATTGTCACACTGGCTCTTGGCTTCCTCGTACGCCAGCTGGAGTCTCTGCAAGCACCTCCAGTTCATAATACAAAGACACCACCTGTGTCTTCTCTGTATTTCCAGTGCCTGCGCTAGTATCCAGCAGAAGCACAACAGATGTTTCACTTTTGGTTCATCTGAAGTGGGGGGGCCCCCAAGGGGCTCGATCCTACTGGCTCAGGTGGGACGCCCCACGGCCACAAGGAAGGAGAGGGGGCCAGGCACTCACCCCGGGAGCTGTAGCCATGGGCATCCATGAAGGACAGGCCCAGTCGCTCGTCCTCCTGCAGGGTGCTCTGGTCCGTGAAGCTCCGGTCCACGGCACTCATCATGTGAGTCTTCTCCTGGCGGTAGTTGACAGTGGCCTTGGTCATGTTCACCGGCTTCCTGCAGAGGGGGTTGATGGGAGACATAGGCACTGTGCGGGGCTGAGCAGCACCCAGAGGGGCGTGGGGAGGCCAGCATCAGGGGGCCTTGAGGCCAGGAGGAGGTGGCTGTCCTGGAAGCATCTCTGGACACTGAGGGGCTCCTTCCTCACCAGACCCAGAGAGCTGCTGCCTTCCCCAAAGAGGTCAGCAGGATCCCTGTCCTGGAGATGTTTCTGAGTGCAAAGGATGAGGCAAGCAGTGGCCTCAGGCTGGGATCCCACTCCTAAGTCTCACTGGCCCTGTGGGCTCAGGAAATGAGAAAGTCACTATAGGCCCAACTTAGTGTCACAGTAGACTGTCTCCCACCCCACACTAGGAAGAGGCTGGCGCAGCATGTCCCCATCTCCACCCCTTTCCTCACTAAAAACCATCCCCTGGACTTCTCTTTCTCCTGCAGGAGGCGGGGACTTGACTCCTTCATGGCAGAGGGGCTGGTTAGGGTGCAGCCAGTGCTCAAGAGTCTCCCAGGCACAGAATGAACTCCAGCCTTGGTTTGTTGTTCTTCCTCCCAGAACCCCTAGGATGGTCCCAGCATGGGCCACCATAGATGTGTCACGAGATCCACACAGGATTCACCTTGATGTCACAGCTCACCAGTCCATCCTGCTGTGGAAAACAGCTGGGAAGGAATGAGAATCCCCCCTTTTCACCCCCCAGCCCCAGCTCAAGGGATGAGAAAGGCAGTTCATAACTTCAAAGGAACTTGGAGGACAGAGAAGAAGCTAAGGAAGTGGGAGGCAGGTGACTGCCCCATGATGGAGAGGACAAGAAAGGGAAAATAACTTGGGACCCCTGCTGAGGCTGGAGAAGAGCCAGAGGGGCCCAATCACAGGGAAGGCTCAAGAGGACAGAACTGTCCACCTGCTTGGCTCTACAGTGTGCAGGATGTGGGGTAGACCTGAGAAAGGACTTCCAGGTTATGGGGACTCAGAACACTGACCATCCATGGGAGTGAGGCCAATGAAAGGATCTTTCCAGACAGGCAAACTCCAGCTAGCCTGTCCTGGACTCAAGAGCTGCCAGGGCTGAGAAAGGATACAATGACCCCTGGATGTCCTCCTGCCAGGACAAGATGTCCTTCCTGTACTAAGAAGGCAGCTGGGTGTCCCACTGAAACCAGTGCTGCTGTGCACTGAGGTGGGCATGGCTCTCCCAGCCTGGTTGAGAGACCTCACAGGCCCAGCCTCCTCTCCCAGCCCCCTGCTAGGCTCTGGGTATCACCCTCACTGTGACCCAGGAAGGAATCAAAGCCCCCTTTGGGGGCAGGTGAGAAGTTTCTGGATCTGTGATCTTGACCACCTGGAGGGGGAAAGGTGTTAGGAGGACATGGGGCGGGGGGGAGAAGATAAAGAGTCTAGGGACAATATCAAGGAGCAAGAGAAAGATGGAGAAGGGGACAGAGAGAGAGGGAGAAACAGGCCAGACACCAGCAAACCACAGGGAAGACAGACAGGGCCATGGACAGATGACAGCAGCCAGGCAGGCTAAAAATGAGCCCAGAGAGGAGTGGCTAGTGGCCTAGGGGCAGTCTCTAGCTGTGTGCCACAAGGTCTTTTCCCAGCCCAGGACTCTCAGCCTACTTGGAAGAACCACAAGACTAATCAACCACGGAGGATAGAACCCAGGAAGGATACCTAACACCTCACTGGCAGCCAGCTAATCTCAACACGAGATTAAGCAGATGGAATTTAACATAGATATGTCCAAAACTTCTGCATTTAGTTTCAACAATTAACTGCACAAGCAACAGGGGGAGCCACCCATCAGCAGCTCCTGCAGAAGTTGGGCTGAAGGCTCAGCAGGAGGCAGTGGGTGGAAATCACTGGAGAAGCTCGGGTAGGTGCAGCAGCAGACCGGGGAGGAAGAGGAGAGAGACCCACCATCCTTGGAGCTGGCCCGGTGCCACCTCGACCTGCTCTGTAAGGAAGGAACAGAAGCACAGATGCAGGAGGAATGTACCAGAAGGCTTGCAGAGTAAGCAAGACAGACAGAAGACAAAGCACCATTGACAAGCCGTAGAGTCGGCTGGGAGCTCTGGACATTCTGCGACCTCCAACATGTCCTCAACCTCCCTGAGCCTCGTTTCCTCATCAGTAAAGAGGGAATGAGAACAGTTCCTGCTTCTCAGAGCATTGTGGGGATTCTGGGCCAAGAGCTGAGCATAGGGCTTGGCCCAGAGGAAGCACAGGAAGTGGTGAATCTGCAGAGCTGGGGCTGCTGGGATGGAGAAGAGAGCTGTGGGGATCTGAGTGTCACCTGCACTGTGGAGCTGCCAGTATGGCAACAAGTTGGCCCTGCCACCGTACACATGTGCACATACGTGCACACAGGTATGGACTCTCAGAATGGCACCTGAGTGAGGACATTCCTGGACGTGGACTTGGACTGAGGTCAGAAAATCCTTCTGACCAGCAGAATAGGTTCAAGAAATAAGAGGCTGCCCCAGTGGTGGAGGGGACACTGAGGCTTAGGAAAGTGCCATGACTTGTCTAGGGTGACTCAGCAGAGCCACCTCTGAACCAATGATCTCTGGTGACAGAACCAGCACTCATGATCACAACTCAAGGAGGAAGATGCAGAGTAGAGAGACAGAGCAGAGGAGAGAATGGTCAGGCCAAGGTGGTCATGGAGAACAAGGCTGATACCAGGCCAGGCTGGGGTACGTTGAGCCCAAGCCCAGACAGAGAGGGCAGAGGTGGGAGGCCTCACCCTAGAGGGGCCAGTGGATCTACTTACGGGTAGTAGGAGTAGGCATAGTGGTCTCTCCTGGCAGCGTGCAAAGAGAGAACAGCACAGTTGTATCCAGGGTCCTTCCACCAAGGCTAGACTGAGGCAATGCCCAGTCAGCAGGGGTGCCCAGGTGCTTCCTGTGCTAAGGTTGGGGCTGGCCAGGGACTGACAGAGCAGAAGGGCCTTCCTGGTCCCAAGGGCTGACTGGGCTCAGATGCTGAGGACCAGGACCCAAGGCCCTTCTGGAACCTTTCCCAAGCCTGCTGCTAAAATGAGGAGGAAGTGAGGAAAGGGCCTTGAGGGTATCCAGGGCTTTCACACACAGTCCTACACACACACATATACAGAAAGAAATCCACACAGATGCACCCTCACACATAAACAGACACATATACAGACACCCTCACACACATGCACTTATACATGGTAAAACACATTGACACACATACACATATACTCACAAATGCAGACACACACATAGACGCTTACACATACATATTCAAACACAGTGACTCCCACTTACACAGACACATGCTCACACACAGACACCCCACACACACTCAAAGGTAACTGTGCTCACCCAGGGCTGCTCTCATCCCTGAAGACAGCCCCCACCCTCACCCCTCTCAGTCCCTGCAAGCCCTTCTGCCCCTGAGGGAACAATCCTTTGCATACCCTTCCACCTGGGTAGGGACAGGGAAGGGGCAGGACGGAGAGGACTCCAGTTGGATACTCAGGACAAACCCAAGGCATTCCCTCTCCCAACCTGACTGCCCATGAGTGTGGGTCCACTAAAGGAGCCCAGTCACCCCCTCAGGGCCCTGAGGCCCCAAGGGGGAGGGAAATAGCCAACGGAATGGCATTCTTTGGGTCTCAGCTGACATGTCCAATATCAAAAGGGCCTTCTCTGACCACTCTCCCACAAGTGTCAACCATACTGTGTCCCCTGTATTCTCCCTGCCCCCAACCCTGGCACCTTGATCTTTTCACAATCTGTAATAATCTCAACCATTTGTGCTTTTTCTAATTTGGCACCGAGCTCCCCTCTAGCTATAAAGTATAAGAGGACAGGATCTTTGTCTTTTTTGCCCACCACTGGATCCCCAGGGCCCAGCACATTATAATCCCTCAATAAATACTTTTCTGAATGGAATCATCAATAAATAAGTGAAAATCAATACAAGAACTTCACCTCCATGAGCTTCCACTGCCATCTTTAAAAGTGAGGTTAATAAGAGTCCCCCACAGGGACTGCTGTGAGGCTCCAGCAACAGGAAGCATGTGCTCAGCAAGGGCCAGCAAGCTGCTCCTCCTGCCTCCCTGAGCCTGCTGAGCTGGGGACCCGTCCCTGGCGGACTAGACAAGGAAACACACAGCCAGCAAGACAGGACTTTCTCTGTCCTTGTGGAGCTCTTAATCCAGCAGGGAAGACAAACATTAAGCAAAGCACTACAAGTAAGTAAATGAAAAAATGGAGGAAGAAGAAAGTGCTGCAAAGAAGAGGGGTGGGACATGGGGGTCTCTGGAAGCAGAACCAGGGGATCTGACCTGCCCTGGGGTCACCAGCTTCCCCCTCCAGGCCCTGGAACACCCCTAGGGAAGATGCATCCAGTCTGATCATCCATGTGGGCAGGACAGGATGGAGAAGCTAAAATCTCCTCCCTGTTGGACCCTGTTTCCCATAATACTCCCCTGGGGCTTCTCTTGCCTCCAACAAGACTCTACAGGGGACAGAGACTACCCTCCCTGGGAAACTTCCTATTCTGTCAGTTACACTCATATCCCAAATTGATCTGAATGTCCCCACCCCTGCCAGAAGTGCTGTGTTCCATGACACTCGCAATGTAGACGGGGAGTCCTGAGAAGCACAAAGGGTCCTGTGTGCCAGGGTAGGATTCAGGGGCACACAGTCAGGTGCTAAGGAATAGGACAGAATAACCTTTAGAGGAAGTAAGGAGGCGCAGGTGGAGAGGGAAGATGGGGGTCCTGGAAGCATATGGGATAACCTGGGTTTGTAGGGTAGCAATTACATAATAGAAGGTTTCCTAGTAAGGCCCTGACAGCATTTCTGATTCACCCTCTCCTGGGCCCAGTGCTCTCTTTGCAGTGGTCGGTGACTCCCCCCACCCTGTCAATCCTCTCTCCCTGAAGGTAGATTTCTGGAACCTCAAATACCAACTGAAACTCCGTAAAATCTGACCCCTCCTTTATAGCTCTCTCCAGCCCCACCCTCACTTAGAGTCCCTCTCAGGCCCCCTGTTGGGAAGAAGTTAGGGACTTGCCAATGTTGGGGTCCCTCCTGTGTGCCAGACTTGGTGAAGTCAGGCCCTGCCACTGCTCAATCACGTGGCATGGACAAGTTACTCTAATTACAGTTCCTTCATCTGGACAAAGGGAGTCAGATCCACTTCATGGGTCAAGATCCAAGAAAGAAATGTTCTCTAATGCATCCTAAATGCCAGAACAGTGCCTGGCATACAGTAAGTGCTCAATAACTAGTGTACTAATGAATGATGTTATGTAAAGCTCCTAGCATAGAGTAGTCATTCACCAAATGATGGGATTTTTGTTTTTTTGTTTTTGAGTTGGAGCCTTACTCTATTGCCCAGGCTGGAGCACCGCAGCCTTAACCTCTTGGGCTCAGGCAATCCTTCCGCCTCAGCCTTCCAAGTAGCTGGGGCTGCAAGCACACTTTACCATGACTGGCTAATTTTTGGATTTTTTTTTGTAAAAACAAGTTCTCACAATGTTGCCTAGGCTGGTCTCAAGCTCCTGGGCTCAAGCAATCCTCCTGCCTCAGCCTCCCAAAACGCTAGGATTATAGGCATGAGCAACCACACCTAGTTCAAATGATGATTTTAAATGTGTTGCATTGGGAAGCTGGGACCAGGGTAGGGGACAGTCAGAGCCTAGCACCTGGGATAAGCCACCTTCCTACATCTCTTCCACTCTGCTGTACACTCTACTCCTGGTCCCTCTCTCCTGCTGGTGCCTGGCCTCATGCAAGGTGGCCCTAGCCAGCTCTCTCTCATCTTCCTGGATCCTACTTATCTGCTCCCAGCAGCCCAGAGATCCAGTGCCAGCTCACCTACGTGTGTCCAGCCTGGCAGCAGCAGGGGCTATAGAAGCCAGATCCCAGGTGCAGAGAGGTGGAGCTGGCTCTGCCTCTGGCTCCCTGGGTGACCTTGGGCAGGTCTGCAACCCCCTCTGGGCCTCAGCATCCCTACCCCTCAATTAAGGTGCTTGGGCCAGCCGGGCTTGGTGTCTCAGGCTGTAATCCCGCGTCTTGGGAGGCTGAGGTGAATGGATTGCCTGAGCCCACGGGTTCGAGACCCGCCTGGGCAACTTGGCAAGACCTCATCTCTACAATAAATCAAAAATTAGCCGGGCATGGTAGCACGTGCCTGTAGTTCCAGTTACTTGGAAGACTGAGGCAGAAGGATCGCCAGAGCCCAGCAGGTCGAGGCTGTGGTGGCCGGGAGCGGCCACTGCACTCCAGTCTGGGCAACAGAGTGAGACTCCAACTCAAAAAAAAAAAAAAAAAAAGATGTTTGGGCCACAGTGTCCTGGGGCTGCCAGGTGGAGAATGAGGTGGGGTAGGGTGGGGAATGGTAAGCAAAGGGGTCTTAAAAGCATCCACTCTGCATCCAGTTAGAGTTGCCGCCCAGCCTTCACCTACTCCATATAGGAAGGTTTTTGTTTTTAGTGTTTTAAAGACAGGTTCTGCTGCTGTTTTTTTTTTTTTTTTTTTGAGTTGGAGTCTCACTCTGTCACCCAGACTGGAGTGCAGTGGCCGCTCCCAGCCACTGCAGCCTTGACCTGCTGGGCTCCGGCGATCCTTCCACCTCAGCCTTCCAAATAGCTGGAATTACAGGGGCGTGTTACCACACCCGGCTAATTTTTGATTTACTGTAGATATGAGGGCTCACCAAGTTGCCCAGGCGGGTCTTGAACCCACAGGCTCAGGCAATCCGCTCACCTCAGCCTCCCAAAGCACTGGGATTACAGGCTGAGCCACCGAGCCCAGCTGGTTCTGCTACTTTAAAAAGATCTGAAAATCATTAGACTAGAAGGCTGTGAACTACCTGGCTCTTCTCACTTTCTGTGGCTCTGAGCCTCTACAATTCTAAAGTCTGAGATTTCTTGAGTCCCAGATCCTGACTATCTGAAACTGTAAGATTCTAAGTTCTGGATTCTAAGACATGCTGCGATTCATGCTGCCCTCTGCAAAATGCACCAGGAAATGCATCCCAAGCAAACATGAGGCTGGACTTTTGACACCTGGAGGATAGTAAGGGCAGGAGTGGGGTTTTCCCTCAGTCACAGGCCTAGGAAGGCTCCTCAGGGATCCACAGACTCCAGGGTCCAGGGCACACTGAGCCTGACAGAAGATGGAGCCCAGGAAGAGCCATGGCTCTGGGACCTTGGTTTAAAGAGAAGTGAACACTGCAACCCTACTCAAGGACCACTGCACAATCCCGTGGTCAGGGCAGACAAGTTGGCTGAAGATCTTCAGGGGTCTAGGGACCTCCACACGCTCCCTATTGGAGCAGACCCAACAGGCACAGGAGGGCAGTGCCTACTTCTAGCATAGCTCCTTGGCACCAGGCACTGAGTGCCCTCCCCTGGACAGTGGCACCTGGTACCAGTGAGACCTGTACTGCAGTAATGCTACTCCAAGGCAGCTCCTTTTGCTGAGTCTCCAGTTTCCCACCCTCTAGCTCAGATCCATCTGTAGATCCGATACCAGGCTGGCAGCCTTCCACATACCCACCAACAGCTGTCCTACCAGCCCCCAGCCACCAGGCCTCTAAGGGGCAAGAGCCACTGAGTGGCCTCACTCACCCCTTGCGGATGATGACAATGATGGCCCCCAGGAGGAGGATGAGGACGGCAAGCCCCCCTGCACAGATGCCCAAGATGAGTCCCATCTCCTCTGATCTCTGGGACACCTCCAGTGGCCGCTTGCTTTCCTTGCAGGCAGCTGAGGAGAACAAAGCAAGATGAAGGATCAGGGGGGAGACAGGGACCACCTAACTCCTCCTTTAGGGCTCTGCACCCCAAGGAACAAATTAGGCTGCACAACCACAGGTGCGTAACACTGCCCCAATGCTCACTACATGGCCACCTTTCCATCATATCGACTACCTCACACCCCTTACACCTTCTGCATGTCCACACCTGAGTCCTCACTTACATTGCTCCCCTGTCGGGAAGGACATGCCCCTCTCCCCTCCAATCTGATCCTCCCCAGTTCTCAGTGGACAGGAGAGGGATGATACCTGAACCTTCAGACCCATCCTCTGGCCCTCCAGGGAGGTGATAGAGGGGAAGAATTATGTACCTAGGGCATGGTTAGGATATCTCAGGATGAGAAGCCAACTCATCCCTGTCTGGAAGTAGAGACAATCCCTACCCCAGAGCATCCATGCTGTCCCCATCTCTCTCGCCAACCACAGGAAAGTGAGGGCAGATACACAACCATCACCCTCTAGGTCCCACCATAAGGGCTCCCCAAACACAGGCCTGTCCCAGGTTCCTGCTTAGGCCCCTTCTGTGACCAGAAGAAAGGTAAGGAAGGTGGTCCTGCTATCAGCCTGAAAGGAGCCCTTGACGGTAGGGTACATGGAGGCCTAGAAAGGAAGCCCTTCCTTACCCCAGGCCTGCCTAACCGCCCTCCTCTGCTCCCACAGTCGCCTCCCCAGAGCTGGGCAGGTGAGAAACCTGCTGCTAAAATACTAGAATAACCCAGCGGGACTTACCTTTCCTGGCGATGCGAACACAATTCAGTCGAGTCTCCTGGAGGCACAGATGGGGTTCTCAGCGGCGCTGAAGCCCTGACCTCACCCTCCCCAGGGCGGGAACCTCAGGCAGCGCTTCTTGGATACAATTTTCTCTGGTGCAGACTATAAGTAAGGACACCTCATCCGGCAGGAGGACTGGGGGACTCTAGGGGGCGGGACCTAAAGGGGAGGTGCTTACAGTATCTTAGGAAAAGGGATGAAACCAGAGGCAAGAGAGAAACGGCATGGGAAAGGGGCGGGGACTCAAGAGAGGGCGGGGCGTAGGTTCAGAGATCTGGCTTGGAACGGAGAAACCAGGCAGGAAGCGAACTGAGGAGGGAGAAACCAAAAGAACAGGGCGGGGCTTCAAGAAGGAGGCGGGGCCTAGGCCTTGAGCTAAGAAAGCAGTAATCTGAGATGGGCTCCTCTGGGAAGAGGCGCCTGAGATAGCAGGCAGAGCCTCAGGAAGGAACAGGGACTAGACTGCAAACCTGGAGAGAAAGGAGAAGACTGAGAAAAAGGTTTGGGAAGGCTCTATGGGAAGAAGCCTGGGTTGTGGAGGACCGGGCTACGGAAGGGACAAAGTAGAGAAGGGGCGGGACTATGGAAGGGAAGGTCTGTGGGAGGGGCGGAGCTGTGGGGGTTGCCCACCTGGGTCTCTGGTCTTTGTGTTGTACCGGCTCCAAGGTGTCCCCAGCCTGCCATCCCGTACCCCCCAACCACCACCACCACAAAGCTGGTCCCTCACCCCCTTCAAGTGGCTTGTTGCCTGGAAGTAGATGAGGTAGGCCTTCCTAGGCTCAAGTGGCGGGTTCCAGAAGCCTCGATAGGTCTGGTTGTCACCCACGGTGAAGGGCATGGCCTCAGGCAGACTGCTGGCCGCCAGTTCGGCTCCAAAGTAGTGCACCAGGCCTCGGGCCAGCGCCGCCTCGAACGTCAGTGGCACTGGGAAGCAATCCTGGCCACCTGGCTCCCGCCTCAGCCGCCGTGGCCGCTCCTCCTCCACAATCACCTGATACACACTGGACAGGGAGGAAAGAGCACAGGTGATCACAGGAGGCCAGGGGAAGGGAAAAGCCATCTGGTGGCGGAAGGTATGGCCTTTGGGTCAAGCCTACCTGAGGACAAATCTCCACTCTGCCCCTTCCTAGCTGGGCAAGACACTGAACCTCCCTGGGCCTCAGTTTCCTCCTCTATAAAATGGAAGTGACCACAGGACTGTTCCACAAGGTATATGTGAAGGACAAGTTTAGCAAGCAGCCAATGCGCGTCAGCTGTTATTCCTGTTACTAACTCAGGCTGAGAAAATCCTGGGCCCTGCTCAACACAACCAAGCCAAACCCCATCCCCACTTCCTCCGTGAGTCCTGAGTGTGACACAGAACCTGGGAAACCAAAGCTGCTCATCGCTACCTTCTGGGCCTTGGTAAATCACAGGATTAGCCAGATTCATTCATTCATTCAAAAAGAGTTCACTGAACTCAGACAAAGGAGCCCTGGGCTAGGCACTTAGGGATCTGGGCTTCCTGAAACTGATGGGAGAGACAATCACTTAGCAAATGAGGACATACCTAAGACTACATCTGTATTAGCCTTTCAATCCTGAGGCAGCCTCTAATCTGCAAATCAGAGTCCTGTTGTCTTGAGAGCCCACTCTGATTTGTGTTCCCTGGTCCCAATGCCCACGTTTCTGTTTATTTTCTCACTTTACCAAATTGGCTTTTGGTGTGACTACCTCCAAATCCTCTGTGAACCAAAGCCAAGAGTAAATACATGAATGCTGACAAATTTAAATATTTCCAGTCATAGCCTTGGTCACATCTCAGTGTGTGACATCCCATATTAACAGCCTCTGCTTGGAAAGCAAAAGGCTTTTCCTTGTTCTTCAGATGTTTCTTTTGATCTTCCAAGTTGTAGGAAATCATCCGAGAGTGTTGGATACCGGCCCCACTGCCTGTGACTAGTCCAAGCCCCTCTCAGCCTCCATTTCCCCAGGCTGAGGTCAGGTTTCTCTCAGCCCTGAGTACCACCAGGAGATAACAATTCAGATTAACCATGAACAAAGTACATCCTAATCTAGAATATTTCCCATTATGCAGATAAGGAAACAGAGGCTCAGGAAGGTAAAGAAATATGCCCAGGGTCACACAGCCATCTTGCCTCTCCCCTCCCACCATGTCCCAGCCCCTGCCCCCACCAGCATTGTCATCCTCACCCCTGTTGGACCCTGACCAGTCCTGCTCATAGGATCCCTCAAGAGGACAAGGAAGGGTCTCCCAACTCCCCCAGATTCAACTGCACAAGGGACCTGCGGCTCCAGCAACATGCAAAAGATCCTGCAGATGCCCTGACTTTTTCCTGGGTCTCCCCTGAGGGCCTGGGAATCAGCCCAGGACAGGATTTGCAGTGGCAAATATAGGGAGACACAGCAGAAGTGGGGAAGGGGAGGGGAAGGACTGTCGAGGGCACCTGGGAAATCCACTAACCTTCTTGGGGGGCTGACTAGGACCCTCACATCTCCCACCTGAAGGCTGTCACTCCCTCTTTCTCAGTGTGTGCACCTTTGTGGAAGGAACGGGTAGAACAGAGGACCAGGGAAGCTCTATGATTTCTAGAAAAAACACAGGCTTTGCAGACAGACCTGGGTTCCAAATCCCAGCTCTATCATTTACTAGCTATGTGGCCTTGGGAGCAAGTGATTTGGGCTGAGTTGGTTTCCTGATATGTAAAACAAGGGTAATAATACCCAATAATAATAGTAATACCCAATCCACAAGGTTGCCGTGAAGATAAAATGACCTGTGCAGGTAAAGTCCCTAGCATAGTGACTGGCTAACAGTATGTTGCACAAACACTCTCACGCTCTCACACACATGCACACTCATATCTCTCACACATGTTCACACCTCCACACCACACACATCACGTCTTTATCACAAAGACACACACATATACCCCCCATCTCGTCTCCAGCACCTTCTCCCCAGCAGAGGCAGCCATTGTGGCATCAGGAGCCCCAGCATCCTCTGAAGAGAAGGAGGCAGAGAAGCCAAGCTCTTGGCAACTCCAAAGAGATGGCCCTATCTGGCCAGCTGCCCTAGCCTTCTAGAAAGCCCATCCCTGCATTTCCAGGAAAAGAGCTGGGAAGCACTAAGACCCCCAGAGTTTCACTTCTCCAAGGTGTCTGAGGGAAGGCCCCCTGCAGTGGCCTGGACAGTCCCCTCTCTGGGCTGGACACTGTCCAGGGACCTTGTGACAGCAAGACTCATGGTTTCAGAAGAGTGACTGCCTGCCCAGGGTCACAGAATGCCTTCCTCCAGATACTCTGAGCCCTGCATGGGAGCCTGAGGGAGAACAAGGGTGAGCACGCCTGGGTGGGGGCTCTCAGTCAGAGGATGGTGGCCTCCCGCCCCACCATCCAGGCTTTCCCACCTGATGGGTGCACCACGGCCCTGTGCCGGTCTCAGCAGCACGGTGATGGTGTTCTCGGACTCGCCCAGGGGTGACGGCATGTCAGCATAATCAAAACTGGGAGCTGGGGAAGGGGACAAGGACATAAGCATGGAACCTGGCCGCTGAACCAGGATGGCCAGGCCTTCAGCCTCCTTGATCACTGTCCTCAGATCTCTTCCTCTTCAGCCTTAGCCTCCTTGTTCTTGCTGGCTGAGCTCCCTTGACCCTGATCTCAAATACTGATCCCAAACTCACCCTTTGATTCCACAGACCATAGACTCCTGAGCCCTGATTTCAACTCCTAAATGGCATATTTATCTTCACAGAAGCCCTCTGTAACCACCCCCAGGACATCCCACACTCCCTCTGCCCATGGAACCCTGGGATTTTGAGCCACCTCCAAAGGGGCCAGGCCGGGGTTGGACAGGACTCACCTGAGATGTTGGTGGTGATCTCAGTGAGTGCCGCCTGGCCGAAGCCTTTGCCCGTGCGGGCCCTCACGGAGAACAGGTAGGTGGTGCCTGGGTGCAGGTTGGAGAAGACGTGGTAGGTCTCGTTGCGGAGCTTGGAGATTGTGCGTCGTGGCCCCGGCACATTCACCGCCGGGTCTGACGACTCGATGCTCTGGTAGCTGATCTGGGAGCAGGATGGGCAGGCAGGCAGGCACGGGGATGGGGCAGGGCATCATTGACTTGACATGTAACCTACCACCCACCATGTTCCGGGGAAGCTAGGGGTGAGGCTGAGCCAAGAGGACCGTGGAGCCCATCAGGCCAAGCTTCTGGCACCTTCACCTCCCTCCTGCCTTCAGGACCCCTACCCCATAACCCACAGGGCACAGGCCCTGGCCATAGTTGAAGGAACAGTGACAAGCACCTCTGTCCTCTTCATATACCTTGCTCTCCACACTACTGCAGCAGAGGGAAAGAGTCATTCTCTCTTCTTCCACCAGTGCCTCCACTATAACAGGGTCCCAAACCCACCTCATACTGAGTGATGAGGCCATTGGGTTCCTGGGGCTCCTCCCACTTAAGGAAGATCATGTCCTCCAGTGGAGTGAAGGTCAGGGATTCAGCTGCAATCCCGCCAGGCACTGCAAGGAAAAAGCAGCGGGGGGAAGGGAAAACGGGCTTTGGCACCAGATATGTGGATTCAGATTCCAGCCTTGCCACTTCCTATTTAGTTCAACCTCTCTGAGCCCGTTTCTTCATTTGTGAAATGGGGGTGAAGTAACCCCTCCCAAACGAGGACTAGGTAACATGATGTACTTAAGGCCCCAAGAAAAACATCAACAGTTTCATATGGTTCAGCCTATTACTGAGTTCTCCAAAAGGGTAGTTGGCATGTTCATTACCATGTACGTTGCACTCAGCAGAGGAAAATGCTTGAAGGCTCCTATTTTGTTCCAGCTGGGTGGTTTTCAGAAAATATAGACATGTGCCAGAGCAATGAAAGCAACAATTGTGTTGGGATATTGGGATTATGGGTGGAGATGTTTTCTTGCCTAAAAATTCCTAATTACATAAATGATATATTCAATGTAGAAAATCTAAATGAGCATGAAGAAAATTGGTGGCACTTACAATTCTATCACCCAGAGATAAATACTGTTAACATTTTAAGCATAAACACTCTCAGGCATGGTTTGGTTTTGTTTTGCTTTTATTTTAATGTATACTCTTAATGGCAGGCATAGGAATTTTATCTAGGAAAATGGTCTCTTTTTGCAGGGGGTGGGGGAACAATTTGATAAATCACTGTGGGAAAGTTGAAGTCCTAAGGCAGGGAAAAACAGAAACCAAATAACAATCAATAAAAGCTAAGCTACTCTATGTTAAAATGAACAGTCTACAAGGCAACCATCTACCCATGGAAATGGTGAAATGAAAAAGACAATTCCAAGTGTTAGGATACAGAGCAACTAAAATTTTCACACTGCTAGTGTGATACTGTCTGGCTATATCTACTACAGATATTCCCCATAACCCAACCATCCTACTCCTAGACATAAACCAATCAGAAATGTGTATATCTACAAAAACAAAATCTACAAAGATTTATGTGTAGCATTGTTCAGAATTGCCAAAAACTGAAAACAACCCAAATGCCCAACAACAGTAAACAGAATGAATAAATGTGGTATCATCACATAATGGACTCTATAGCAATAAGAATGTTTTCTCTACATATACAATACAGCTGAGTCTCTCAAGCACAAAAGTCAAGAGGAGAAAAAGCTAGTCATAAAAAGAATACACGGCCTGGCGTGGCGGCTCAAGTCTATAATCCCAGTACTTTGGGAGGCCGAGGCTAGAGGACTGCCTGAGCCCAGGGGGTCGAGACCAGCCTGGGCAACTTGGTGAGACCTGGTCTCTATAGTATATTAAAAAAATTAGCTGGATGTGGTAGCACACACCTACAGTTCCAGCTACTTGGAAGGCTGAGGCAGAAGGATAACCTGAGCCCAGCAGGACGATGCTGGGATGGCCGTGAGCGTGCCACTGCATTCCAGCTTGGGCAACTGAGTGAGACTCTGACTCAAAAAAAAAAAAATACTCATTGTATGATTCCATTTATTTAAAGGCCAAGGAAAAATTAATCTGTGGTGTTATAGGTCAAGATAACAGTTACCCTTGGGAGGTAGTGACTAGGAGAGGCATCCAGAGGGTTTTCTGGGGTGCTGGTAATGTTACTTCTTATACTAGATATGGGCTATCCTGATGTCCAGTCTATGAGAATTCTGACCGCTTAAGATAAGTATACTTTCTGTAAGTATTATACTAATACTTCAATGAAAAGTAAACACTACTAAATAATGAGCAGCTATTGGAGAACAGGGAGAAAAGGAAAAGGGAAAGAAAACCAAGTAGCCCTCATGAGGCCTGGCCAGGGTGGGGTGAAGCAGCTACCATAACATACCTAGGAGGCAGAGGTGGGATACAGAAGTCAACACACCTTACACATAGGCCTGTCTGATGTTCAACTTGAAGCTGTTTGCAATGCTTCAAGGTAAACTTATCTGGTCCTCATTCCCACTTCCAGCAAATCCTCAGCCCAAGGCATACACACTACCATGGGTGAGTAGGCTTTTGTGGAAATCAAGGAAGGAGCTGAATTTTGTGTCTTGGCCAATGCTGTCCAGAACAGAAAACTGCATACATTGGGCAGCAAGAAAAATTATAAACCAAGGAACTTAGGGGTATCTGGGATCTGCAGGAATCTGCAGGAAGGCTCCGGACCTGTGCTGGCATTTGAGTGTAGCTGGTAAAAATGACAACTCTGGCCAGGCGCAGTGGCTCAAGTCTGTAACCCAGCACTTTGGGTGACTGAGGTGAGAGGACTGCCTGAGCCCAGGGGTTCAAGACCAGTCTAAGTAAGCTGGCAAGACCTCATCTCTACAATAAATCAAAAAAATTAGGCAGGCATGGTAGCATGCACCTGTAGTTCAAGCCAATTGGAAGGCTGAGGTGGAAGGATCCCTTGAGCCCAGCAGGTCGAGGATGTAGTGGCCATGAGCATGCCACTGCTCTCCAGCCTGGGCGACAGAGTGAGATGAGACTCCAACTCAAAAAAAAAAAGAATGACAGCTCTGAAATCAGATGGCCTGGTTGTAAAGCCAGCTGTGCAACCTGTCAACTGGCTATGTGACCTCATCTGTAAAATGGGGATAGAAATAGTAGCCTACCACATAGGGCTGTCATGGAGATTCGATGCAGTAATATATGAAAAGCATCCAGAATAGTGCTTGACATGTACTAGGTGCTCAGTAAGTATTAGTTTGTCACATACAGAACACTGCACCCAACAGCAAGAGAATATACACTTTTTTTCAAGTACACATAGAACGTTCACCAAAATTTAACCATATACTGGATTGTAAAGCAAGCATCAAATTTCAAGACTAAATTTAGAGTATATACTCTGACTATAGTAGAATTAAGCTAAAAATCAATAGCAGAAAGACATTGGAAAAGTTCCAATTGCTTAGAAAGTAAGCAATGTGATTCTAAATTACTTTTGAGTCATAATAGAAATCAAAATATTTTGAACTGAATGATAATGGAGATAGGAAATATAAACACTTGTGAGATACAGCTAAATCAGGACATAGAGGGAAATTTATAGCTTTACATGCATATATTAGAAATGAAACCAGGCATGGTGGCTCACACTTGTAATCCCAGCACTTTGGGAGGCTAAGGTGGGAGGATCACTTGAGGCCAGGAGTTCAAGACCAGTATGAGCAACGTAGCCAGACCCCATCTTTACAAAAAATAATGTTTAAAAATTAGTCAGGAATAGTGATGCACTCCTGCAGTCCCAGCTACTCGGGAAGTTCGCTTGATCCTGAGAAGTTAAGGCTGCACCACTGTACTCAAGCCTGGGCAAAAGAAGGAAAGAAGGAAGGGAGGGAGGGAGGAAGAGACAGAGAGAGAGAGAAGGGGGAGAGGGAGGGAGAGAGGGGGAGGGGAGAGAGAGAGAGAGAGAGAAAGACACCAGGCTCGGTGGCTCAGTCTGTAATCCCAGCACTTTGGGAGGCCGAGGCAAGTGGATTTCCTGAGCTCACAGGTTCGAGACCAGCCCGGGCAACTTGGTGAGACCTCATCTCTACAATAAATCAAAAAATTAGCCAGGCATGTAGTGCCTGCCTATAGTCTCTGCTACTTGGAAGGCTGAGGTGGAAGGATCTCCGGAGCCCAGCAGGTCAACACTGGGATGGCTGTGAGCGTGCCACTGCACTCCAGCCTGGGCAACAGAGTGAGATTCCAACTCAAAAAAAAAGAAAAAGGAGGGGAAGGGTAGTAGAGGGGAGGGGAAGGGAGGAGAGGAAGAGAGGAGAAGAAAAAAAAGAAGAAAGGCTCAAAATTAAGAAGGTTCCACCTCAAAAAGTGAAAAGAACAGCAAACCAACTCCAAAGAAAGTATAAAAAAGAAAACAGAAGGCGAGCATGGTGGCTCATGCCTGCAAACCCAGCACTTTGGGAGGCAGAGGCGAGAGGACTGCCTGAGCTCGAGAGCTCAAGACCAGCCTGGGCAACTTGGCAAACCCTTGTCTCTAAATAACTCAAAAAATTAGCCAGGTGTGTGGAAGGATCATCTGAGCCCAGCAGGTCAAGGCTGTGGTGGTCATGAGCGTGCCACTGCACTCCAACCTGGGTGACAGAGTAAGACTCTGTCTCAAAAAAAAAAAAGAAAGAAAGAAAGAAAGAAAATAGAGAAAAATAAACACACAATACAGATAATCAACCAAGTCAACAGTTGGCTCTTTGGAAAGGTGAATAAAATTTATACACTTCTAATAAAAGTGAACAAGAAAAAGGAAAACACAAATTACCAATATCAGGAGTTGAAAAGGTGATGTCACTATAGATCCTACAGACATTAGATAAATACAATAAAAGACTAATATAAACAACTTAATGTCAAGAAATTGACAATTTAGGTGAAATAAATCCCTTGAAAAATACTGTTCCTCAAGACTGATAAAAGAATAGAAAATCTGAATATTCCAATATCTATTTTAAAAATTAAAACCGAGGCCAGGTACAGTAGCTCACACCTATAATCCCAGCACTTTGGGAGGCCGAGGTGAGAGGATTGCCTGAGCCCACAGGTTCGAGAGCAGCCTGGACATCTTGGCGAGACCACATCTCCATAATCAATTTTTTTTTTAAAAATTAGCTGAGCATGGTGGCGCATGCCTGTAGTTCCAGCTACTTGGAAGGCTGAGGCAGAAGGATCACCTGAGCCTAGCAAGTCGAGGCTGTGGTGGCCGTGAGTGTGCCACTGCCCTCCAGCATGGGCGACAGAGACGCCAACTCAAAAATAAATAAATAAATAAATAATAAAAATTAAAACTGTTATTAAAAACCAACACAAAGACAACTCCAGGCCCAAATGGAGAAGAATTTACTGCTGAATTCTTCCAATAACTTAAGGAAGGAATTATACCCAAAGTCTTCCAGAGAATAAATATCAGCTATCATGACTCTATTGTTATATAGCTGGTTTAATCCTAAGCAAAAAAATTCCCTATGTAAATTTTAGTCTCAGACATAGGATGTCTGTGGGAGGCACTCAGGGCCCTGGAAATTGGGGCTGGGACTCTTACCATCTTCATCCGTCTGGAAGGTGACCTCCTTGCCCTCCTTGCGCCCCTCAGGGTTAGTGAGGACGAGACGCACATGAACATTTCGATAGGGCAGCAGGTTCTTGATGGTATAGCGGTTGACGCCCTGCTCTGTCTTCATACACTCCCGGATAGTCTGGTTGTGGCTGTTGCCCGGGGTGTAGTGATAGCACAGGGATACAGTATAGGTGTGGCAACGTGTCACGTTGTAACCCAGTGGTTCCCACTGCAAGGTCAGCTGGCGGGCCTGGATCTCAGCAAAAGCCAGGCCTTTGGGGGCCCTCATGGGCTCTGGGGAATCAGGAAGCAGAGAGAAGCGGGTAAAGGAATTGGGAAGAGAAGAGGAAGAGAAACAGAGAGAGAGCATCAATCTGCTGCCTGAAATAATTCCTCCTTTAACCCCAAGAGCTCAAGTCTCCCTAGAACATCAAACAGGGAGTAAAAGTGTATGCTTTGGAGTCAGGCAGGCAGCATTTGAGTCCTGGCTCTGCTGCTTGCAGCTGGCAACCACTAGCTAGAATCACTTCTTTTAATAGCACAGTTCACCTCCTAATTCAAGATCATCCTGGCCTATATCAGGCCTGTCTGAATCAACCAGTTGTATTTTCCTTAATGTATTAATTCCAAGCTTCTTCTGAAACAACCTACAGTAATGCATATGATACAATAATATACAGAAATCAGGATGATGGGAGAAATGAGAGCCAAATAGTTAAATTAAAGCTAGAGACACAGGGAAACAAACAGAAATGCATGCTATTAGATCCTATGTGGAGGTCCAAAAATAAGATTCCAATTCAGTGGTGGGTTTCCTAGCTGCCAAAGCAAAAATAGAAACAAAATCTGTTATATAATGACAACAGTAACAATGGCAATTGACATTTATTGGGGGCTTTGGATATGCCAGGCATTGTTCTAAAATGTTTCAAAATGCTGTATTTCATCTAATCCTCGCTGTAATTAAGTGCTATTATTAACCCTGTCATACAGATGTGGAAAGGATGGCACAGGGAGATTAAGTCATTTGCCCATAGTCACACAGACAGTAGGTGGTGAAACTAGAATCCAAATCTGGACAGGCTGGCCCCAGGATTGTGTTCTTTTCTTTTCTTTTCTTTTTTTGAGTCAAGGTCTCACTCTGTCACCCAGGCTGGAGTACAGTGGCACTATCATGGCTCACCACAGCCTTGACCTCCAGGGCTCAGGCAATCCTTCTGCCTCAGCCTCCCAAGTAACTGGAACCACAGGTGTGTGCCACCATGCCTGGCTAATTTTTTTTATTTTTTGCAAAGATGAGGTCTCACTATGTTGTCCAGACTGGTCCCGAACTCCTGGACTCAAGCAATCCTCCTGCCTCAGCCTCCCAAAGTTCTGGAATTACAGGTGTGACCACAGTGCCTGGCCCCAGAATCTGTGTTCTTAATCACCACTACTGCCCTGCTTCCCATGAGGATTTCACTACTGCCCTGCTTCCCATGAGGATTTCAACAAAAAAATCACACCAAAGCCTCAGGAGAGACAGGATGGAGGAGAATGTTGTTATGCTTTACAGTCTCTTGATGACTCTGTGAGCCAAAGTTACCCCTGTTTTATAAATAAAGAAACCCAGGCTTTTGAAGTGAACCCACGATGGAGTCCAGGGCCTCAGTTCCCAGCCCTGTGTCTACATTGACAGCTGTGTGATCTTAAGCAAATCTGTGGGCCTCAATTTCCACATCTGTAAAATGAGGGGAGAAGCCAAGATTACATCTAGTGATCCTTTTTTCTCTTGCACCCTGATTCTGTGAAGTGATTCTCAAGTTCTGTGAGTACTTGGAAAGTGTCCCCAATTAGAGGGCCCCAGGATCCCTTAATGAACAGGTGAGAAAGTACTGTTACATAGCCTCTTAAGATTAAATACAATTTCTCAGAATGTCCCTTATAAAGAAACTACAGAGGGAAACATCAGCCCAGGCTGCTTCTCACTCAGGAGTACAGGGGTAACACAGTTTTGACACTGGCCCAAGTACAGTACAATACTATTTCCACCCAGGAGTTTTCCTTTTATTTTTCCCTGCACCCTAGACAAGCAGCGCATCTCTAGCCCTATGTCGGGCCATCAAAGAGAGCTCTCAGTACCCTAGGAACAAGGCCTGCCTCCCTTCTCCCCACAAGACGGGCCCACCCAAATCCCAACCCATAAAGGCACTGAAGGACTGGCTGTCACTGCTCACTGCAGCCTGTGTTTTCTCTCCCATTCCTGGCCCATGGAGACTTTCCTAATTTTCTGAATGTAGTTTTGTTTCAAGCCATCACTGTTAAGTATTTGGAGCGGAGGGGGCAGATTTGTGTGTGCTCATTCGCCATCCTTCTCACAGGTCTGCACTTTATTCTCTGGCTCTGATCCTGGTTGCCCCATATGCCCCTTATCCTCAGGTGTCTATGAGAGCCAAGGAACCACCACTTTATTTGCACTAGTGGGAGTGGGTCTCATTCCCTGCAGTTCTGCCCACACCATCGCCACCCCCTGGAATGCAGCCCTGCATTCCTTTCCATCCTTCCACACTTGGCAGAAGCACTCTGCTTCCTCCTCCTCCCGCAACGCAACATTTAGACAAGGGTAGGAAAAGTTCAGTGTAAACTGGGGACACAGGTTGGGCAGGGACTATGGCAAACAAGAAAGTAGATGTCCCGTCCAAAAGGGGCAGCTACTCCTCACCCCTAGGCGACTGTCACCACGTAGGACTACAGGCTCAGTGTTGCCAGATCCTCCCACTTTTCTTTTTTTTTTTTTTTTTTTTTTTTTTTTTTTGG